TCGGTGAGCCAGCCTGTGCTTCCCCAAGCGTCGGCGTCCCCCAAGCATTTCTCTCCCAAGGTTAAGACTCCCCAGCCCCTTGGACTCTGGCACTGGCTCTCCCCATCCGTGACTTTGGATACCTGCACATGCAGTCCGCATGACGCTGGACAGGACGCCATCTGTCCATTCGTTAGTGCTGAGGTCATACTCCCCGTACAGTTCCCCTAGGGACAACGCTTTGGGATTCAGGGGGTACTCCTGAAAATGACACCGGAAAGGGTTTTTGAGCTGCTGGTATACAAAAATCCCAAAATCCCCCTTATGTCCAGGCTCCCCCTTAAGTAGCTGTACGTGCCCCCGCCCCATCTCTCCCTGACACCTGTGCGTTCTCACCACCTAACTCCACCACCCTCCTGCCTCTGACCCCGTGTCCCAACCGCGTACTCGAACAATGTTGAAGTTGGGGTCTCCGGCGCGGCACAGGGAGGACAAGGAGGCCTGCAGGATTCGCCACGAGGTGGTTTTGCCGCTGCCCGTGCAGCCCACGATCATGGTGGAGTGGCGGGAGTTCTTGGTCTCGTACAGCTGGAACACCTTGGTGAGAGTGAACGGCGTGCTTTGCAGGCCCATGTCGCGGATCTCCTGCTCGACGGTCTCCCGAAGCTGAGGGAAGTGAAAACGCAGAAAGAAGGGAAAAAGATGAGGTCCCCAAATGACTCTCAAATGCTTGCAAGGATATGTTCAAACTGTTAGGAATGGCACCAAGCCCTTTACACTCTGGCGGTCCGTTCCGAGGACGCTGCCAACTGCAGCGGCATGGACTGGGTGCTGCAGACACACGTGTGCCCGTGACCCAGGCTTGGCTGAGCCCGGAGGTGGAGCGCGGCATGGAGACCATGGTAGGGGTATGGACGCTCTCTGGCTCTGTCTCTCACTCATGGAAGACAACAGTTTTTATTTTTTTAAAGGGAGAGATTGGACCCCGGAGTCAGCCAGCTTGGTTCCCAGGTCTCAGCTAGGTGACCGTAAGTTACTTCCTTGAGCCTCAGTTTCCTCATCTGCAGTGTCTGACACACAGCTCTTCGCTTTTTTGTTTTTCAGTGTTTTGTCTGTTTATTTATTTATTTTCTTATGGGGTGTTTGTGCTCACCAGAGAGAGACAGAGAGAGAAAGTGAGAAAGCACACCCCAAGGGAGATCGCCATGCCTCAATCTCTCCTCCATTCTCCCCTTGGGATTTTATACGTGCACACATGAACCCAGCATGGTTTTGAGCCACTGGGTCTGGGACTTGAACCGTGCAGTCAATCATGTGGGATCCAGCCACTTTAACCACTACACCATTGGCTGGTCCCACATTTATAAAAGTATTACTCAACAAATATTTACTAAACGTCTATAGTATGTGCCCCACACTGTACTGAGAACAAAATAGATTTCATTCTATTGCTAAAGAAAATGAGTTGATGGGAGAGCTTGATTCGTGATCACCTAAGTTAAAAAGTAATTCTTATAGATAGAATCTTGACACATATGAATCAGTCCCAGGATAGTGACATTGTTTTTTAAGTTTATTTGTTTTGTTTTTAGAGAGATTTTTGCTATAGGGTGCATTGCTTGCCATAGTAACAGAGAGACAGAAAGCAAGAAGTCACCTCCCGGGAGGATGGCCATGCCACAATCCCTTCACCTCCTAGGATCTTGGACACATATGCATATGTGCCTGGCATGAGTTTTAAATCGCCCAGTCCAGGGTTTGAACCACAGTCAACTACGTGGGAGTCCAGTGACACAACCATTACACCATCTGCTGGTCCCGTCTGTTTGTTTTTAAAGTTTTTGCCATAGGGTTTGTGTGCTTGCTCGTCAGAGAGACAGAGAGAGACAGTGAGAGGGAAAGTGAGAAACCACCCCCAGGGGGATGGCCACACTGCAATCCCTTCTCCATTCTCCCCTGGGATTGTGGGCACGTACGTGCACGCACATGAACCAGTCAGCCATGTGGGGGTCTAGCGCCTGCCCCCAGATGCAAGATTTTTTACTTGTATCTGTCAAACACCACTAAGAGGCCTTACTAATGCTACTTCCTTCCACTAGCTGACAATTACTTTTGTTAGTGTGTTTGTGTGCACGCATGGTTAGTGTCATGCCACAGGTTTTATGTCATATTTCTATTTATTCTGTTAAAAATGTTCGCATTTCTTTTCTTTTCTTTTCTTTTCTTTTCTTTTCTTTTCTTTTTTTTGGGGGGCGATTTTTTTTTTTTTGGTATAGGGCGCGTGTGCTCACGAGAAAGACAGAGAGAGACAGAGAGATAGAAAGCGAGAAATGATCGCCCAGGGGGATGGCCATGCCGCAATCCCTTCTCCTCCATTCTCCTCTTGGGATCTTGGGCACGCACACACACACAACCAGCGTGAGTTTAAGCCACAGGGTTTGGGACTCGAACTGTGGTCGGCTACATGGGAGTTCAGCGACATAGCCATTACGTTAACTGCTGGTCCCCGCATTTCTTTTTTGACCTGATGTTACTTAGAATTGTGTTGCCTAATTTCCAAACATTTGGGCTTTTTCTGATTTTATTTAATTACTAATCTCTAGTTTAATTCTATTGTGGTCAGAGATTATCTTCTGTACATTTTTTTTTTTTTGAGAGGTTTTTGCTATAGGGCGCATGCACTCGCCAGAAAGACAGAGAGAAACAGAGAGACAGAAAGCGAGAAATCACCCTCCAGAGGGGGTGGCCACACCACAATCCCTTCTCCTCCATTCTCCTCTTGGGATCTTGGGCACATACATAAATGCACCCGGCATGAGTTTAAGCCACCAGGTCCAGGACTCGAACCGCGGTCAACTACATGGGAGTCCAGCAACATAGCCATTATGCCAACTGCTGGTCCCACCTCTGTAAAATTTTTAAAAAACATCTATCTATCTACCTATCTATCTCTCTATCTATCTATCTATCTATCTATCTATCTGTTGTGATTTTTCAAGCTGCTGGGTATGAGACTCAAACCATGGTCAGCCATTTGAGTATCCAGTACCTTGACCACCATGCCACCAGCTACCCGCATCCCCCATATACTTCCAATCATTTCAAATTTATGAAACTTAATAACCGAGCATATAGTCAATTTTGATAAATATTCCATGTGTACTTGAGAAGAATACGTATCTACAATTGTGGACACAATTTTCTGTTGTGTTAGGTAAAGTCTGTTAAAAGCATTAAAATACGTGTGTGTGTGTGTATACATACACTTGTTTTTGAGAGAGAGATTTTTACTATAGGACTTGTGCATTCACTGGAGACAGAGAGACAGAGAGACAGAAAGCAAGAAATCACTCCCGGTGGGGGAAAGCCATGCTACAATCCCTTCTCCTCCATTCTCTTCTCGGGATCGTGGACACGCAGATGGACACGCAGGCACACACGCCCTATGTGAGATTTAAGCCAATCGGTCTGGGACTCGAATCACACTTGACTATGTGGGAGTCCAGTCACGTAACCATTATGCCATCTGCTGATCCCTACATACACTTTTTTTTTTTTTTAAAGGTTTTTGCCATAGGATGCTTTGCACTCGCTGGAGAGAGACAGAGAAAGAGAGAGGATGAGTGAGAATCCACCCCCTGGGGGGGATGGCCTCACCGCAACTCCTTCTCCATGGTCCTCTTACGATTTGGGGCATGTACACACACATATGCCCAGTGTGAGTTTCAAGCTGCCAGGTCTAGGACTTGAACCATGACTGGCCATGTGGGACCCAAGCACCTTAACAACCATGCCACCTGCTGGCCCCTCAAATCTGTATCTTTATGGATTTTTTTGTTCTGGTTACTTTATCAATTCCTAAGAATACCAAGTTTTCTTTTTTCTTTAAAGAATTACTTATTTAATTTTATTTATTATTATTATTGTAATTTGCTATAGGGTACACACACTCACCATAGAGAGAGAGAGAGATTGAAAAAGCAAGCCACCAGGTCCAGAACTCAAACCACGGTCAGCCACGTGGGAGTCCAGCACCTTAATGTCTACACCACCTGCTGACCCCCTGAGGGCTTTTTAATAAAGCTTTTTGCCTTTTGTTTTAATTTTTTATATCAGGTGTGTGTGCTTACCAGTGATAGATGGGGTGGGAAGGATAGTAAGAAAATACTCCCCAGGGAGGGTGGCCATACCACGGTCCCTTCTCCCTCTTCTCAGGATTTTGGATACGCACTCACATGTGCCTGCTGTGTTTTTCAGGTCACCTGGTCTGAGATTCGAACTGGGGAGTTGGCCCTGTGGGATCCAGCAGCCCTAACCTCCACGCAATCTGAGGGTTTTTTATGCTTGTTTGTTTGTTTGCAACTTTTCTTCTTCTCTCTCCATGATCCATTTTCTTCAGTTTGCCTCCCTCCTCCTTCCCTGTTAGAGGCTCTCCCCCGGCATCTGGTAGCCTTGGCTTTCCGCTCATGTGAAAGAGTAGAAGGCAAAAGGCCGAATGGAACCGCTGAGTGTGGGGGCTGGCTTGTACTGTGAGTGACCCTGATTTACCCCAGGTTATTTATCTGGGACTTTCACTGGGAAATCTCCATTGTCTTGGTCATTCTTCTTGGGCCAGAGAGATTAGCCATTTTCCTGTCTGGCTGCCGCCTTTCTGGGAGCGGTAGGTGAAAGGCCAAAGGTCTCAGCAGTCAATGCACAAACATTCACGTCATCCCCAGCTGTGCTGCCCTCATCTGTACCTGGCGTTCTCCAGGCCAGACACCTACTGTCTTCCCCGCTAGTCGTCCGCCCAAGCAGAGGAGGCGCAGTCCCCTGCAGTCACAGAGAAGGGGATCTGCAGAGCTAACTGCTAATCACACAGCTAGCCTCTGAGCCTCCTCGTTGTACTTATCTACTCCCCCGCCTACCCGTCACTCACAGACGTAGCTCAGTCTGCAAATTCTTGACCTTTTGAAAACTGCCTACTGAGACCAGCAGATGGCATAACACTGGACTCCCACAGAGCCGACCATGGTTTGAATCCTGAACCTGGCAGCTTAAAACACCGGGTGTGTGTGCGTGCATGCCCAAAATTCCATGAGGAGATTGGAGGAGATGGGATTGTGGCATGGTCACCCCTCTGGGGGTGATTTCTTGCTTTCTGTCTCTCTGGCAAGCGCACGTGCTCTATAGGAAAAAAATCTCTCTTAAAAAAAAAAAAAGAAAAAGAAAGAAAGAAAGAAAGAAAGAAAACTGTCTGCCAATTTCTCCCATTTCAGCCTTCTCAAGCTTGCTAAGTAAGCCATAGCTTATTAATTTGTTTCCTATGTCTACAATTTAGTTCTCGCAGAATCTTCTCACAGTCTCCTTATGCCTTTGGGTATGTATGCCTTATATTGGGTTGCTGGAAAAGGCACGACGTGTAAATGCATCATGACTTTTCCAACAACCCAATAAATGAATTTTTTTTTTGAGAGAGAGATTTTCACTGTAGGGCACATGCGCTCGCCAGACAGACAGAGAGAGACATAGAGACAGAAAGCGAGAAATCACCCCCCAGGGGGGATGGTCAC